GAGAGAGAGAGAGAGAGAGAGAGAGAGAGAGAGAGAGAGAGAGAGAGAGAGAGAGAGAGAGAGAGAGAGAGAGAGAGAGAGAGGGTTTGATGATTCAGGGAAGCTCCCATCGACACAAAACACAAGTAAAAAGCCTGTTATGAAGGGGTGATCAGGGCAGCAGAAGAAAAATGCTGCAGCAGTTAGAGAGTTCACACAGCCATAATGGTGCCATTTAATGCACAAGTGAAGTGCAAACGTTTGACTTCTTTGCAGCTACAACCCATAGGCTTGAATTATGCAAGAGTCACAATGAAATGCGCATGGGTCAATGTGCTGTAAGGAGTCCTAAGGACACATGGGCTGAATAAGAATGGCACGATCCTTTACATTTCGAAAAGCAGAAGCCGTGATTCCAGTCATAAAATGCCAAAAATGAGCCTCTGATTTCTTTCTTTGCAGGTGCTACAGGATGCTGTGGACACCAGGCCATTGCTACAGTATGCTTATAGATACAGAGCCCCTCCCCAACTGTTCATGAAAAACTATGTCTGGACTTGGAGACTGAAAACGATCGGTGAGGCTTACATCATGATCTTGCAGTCTTCTTTGTGCCTGAATTACAAGGCCCACAGTATGTCTGTAGTATCCAACAATGGCAGTGACAACAGCACTATCAACGTGCTATGAAAAATCACCCTAGACTCCTTGAATTGATGGCTACTTTAAGATCTCAATACTATGCTCTGAGGCCAAACACGTCTTAGCACTCCACAACATTTCAAATTAAAGTATCCGAACTTCCGAAGTTATCAGCCACCATATTCAAAAACAGGAGACGAGAACATCTCGCTGAGTTTAGAATCTTGAGACACTGGGGCGAATGGAAGTCAACCTTATAGGACACATTGTGTTCAAATGAGGCACACAGTCAGATGAGAAGGTGAATAGTCAGCACAGCATGTGGCAGTACACCAACTCAAGACCAGTACAGCCATGAGTCCCATGACTACTTTTTCCTCCCCCGAAAATGATAATTATGTGTCTTCTATGAAATCGACGCTTTATCCCCCAACGAGGAAGAAGACGGTAAGAGAGGAAGGTAAAAAAATAGAAGTGCGTTCACTGTTCTATCAAATTTGTTTGCCGGGTGCAAAGTCAAAGCTGGATGCTGGGCCAGGAGTGGGCCTCAATCAACTTCAGAAGGCCAAAACAGGCCACATAACTGGCAGTGGGCCTAGACTGTAACAGCCAGAACAGCGAGAAAACATCACCTAAGCATCTGATAAAATCATAAAACAGACTCTAAATTCCCTAAACCAGACTAGGTAATGACAGGTCAGCATCCACATCCGTGCTTAACATCAATCGCACAGCTACCTCTTGGTGTCCAATGTACTGCCAATCGTCAACTGCATTCAAATGAAAAAGAGGGCGGAGACGGAAGTGAAGCGGAGCAAACTAGCAAGTATGCAATTGATTCTTAGAGCTGTAATGATCCATTCAAAACACAGACTGAGAACACTGCTGATTTCTGAAGTTCTGCCTATGGAATGGATGCCTTGCTGAGATTCCCGCATTCTGCTGTGTTTTCTAAGTCTGTCTGGGTGTGCGTGCTTGTGACCTGCGTGCCTGTCTGAGTGCTTGTCGGTACGAGTGTGTGTGTGACCCGCAAGGGTACTTGCTTGTTTGGCAAGCCCGTAGGGCCGGTGCTTACCTGTGGCCGTGGCATTGAGGGTTGTAGCAGGGAAAAACAGTCAAGTGGCGAAGCTAGCGGCCCCGCGGCCCTTGGGGTAGCGGAAAAACACTCAAGTAGGCCGGTAGGCCGATACTGCACCCCACTGCAGTTGGCGTGAAGGGGTACTGGAGGCCGAGCAGAAAAAGACAAAGTTGGCATTTTTAGAGTCCAGTAGCGATAGGGTAGGTCTAGGCCGGTACCAGTCCAACCAGTCTAAGTCTAGAGCCTGTACGGGTAATATCAGGGTCTGCAATGATGTTTCCCTCCGAAACGGAGGAAGGACCGGTTGCTTGGAGAGGCCGAGCGGCCTGGAAGTCACCGCCCAGGAGGCAAGTAGGCCGCTATATCAAGAGGCCGGGCAGAGAGCCCAGCCTCATTCTTCAGTGTGCAAGTTTGGCGACACGCTGCTGGAGTGCTGGCTGGAGTAGCGCTGGGTACTACAGCGCTGCTGGGAGGAAGAAGCCGGGAGCTTCCACCTCGGCTATGGTGGAGCTCTACCGGTAGGAGGAGGAGGGAGAAGGGGACCAAGGAGGAGAGTGGCGAGGCACTTACCTGGCTATGGTAGACACCATCTTCATCTCCTTGCTAGGCGCTGCATCAGGAAGGCCCCCGTTGGGGTATTGCCGCATCAAGGAAGCTCGGGACAGAGTCGGGCAGGGTGACTGATTGGGCAGCGGCATAGCTGCATGGTGATGACCTTGAAGTGGGGCAGCGGCATAGCTGCTCTGGGTTGTCCTTTGGACAGGAGGCTGAAGCCTCAATAGTCCACCATAGCCTCGGCCTGAATGTAGAGGAAGAGGAAGGGTGGCCATGGCTATGGTGGGCCTCATGTTGTGCCTGCAGTAGAAGTGGGATTCGGACATTGATTCTGGTTCAGTCATTCAACATTATTATTGTTATTTCTTGTTTGAATAAGAGGGAGGAGATAAGAGGAAGGGATTGGTTGGCGAGGAAGAAGAGCCTTGACATTGGTCTATGCTGGAGTACATCTTCATCTTCTTCTTTCTCACTTCTTCTTCTTCTTCTTCTATCCCTCTCTCTCCTCTCAAGTTCATTCATTTCTTTTTTCAATTGGATGGCATTGTACTTTCAGATGAATGTATACTTCGACATTGGCCAGGATCGTAACAGAGCAAAAAAGTGAAATCACCAAAGAACGGTGATCCTACGGGTATCTTGCTGCACCATACCTTGTTCCCTTCTCACATTCTACAGTTTCTACATGGGTATCTTGCTGCACCATACCTTGTTCCCTTCTCACATTCTACAGTTTCTACATTAAGGAACACTGTAAGTTTGCAAAATTGACGACACTGGTCATGCCATTGTACCAAAAAACAAGGTGCAACAAAACCACCCCTAATCATGCACGTGTAATGACCCGCCAAAACACAGACTGAAATCACTGCTGATTTCTGAGTTCTGCCACTGGAATGGATGCTTTGCTGAGATTCCCGCATTCTGCTGAGTTTTCTAAGTCTGTGTGTGTGCGTGCTTGATGGTCTGCGTGCCTGTCTGAGTGCTGGTCGGCCTGAGTGTGTCTGTGACCCGCAGGGGTTTTTATTTGTTTGGAGGCCAGTAGGGCCGGTACTTGCCTGCGGCCGTGACATTGAGGGTTGCAGCAGGGCAGAAAACACTCAAGTGGTGGGGCACGAGGCCGGCGACACTTAGGGCAGCAGAAAAACACTCAAGTAGCAGGTAGGCCGGTACCACACCAAGTAGATGTGCCGGTACTCGAGGCCGAGTCTGCAATGATGTTTCCCTCCGAAAGGGAGGAGGTACCGGTTGCTTGGGAGGCCGAGTGGCCTGGAAGTCACCGCCCAAGAGGCAAGTAGGTGTCTATATCTTCGGGCTGGGCCAAGAGCTGAGCCTCATTCTTCGGTTGGCAAGTTTGGCGACACACTGCTTGGAGCGTTGGGCACTTCAGCGCTGCTGGGAGGAAGGAGACCAGGAGCTCCCACCTCGGCTATGGTGGAGCTCTACCGGTAGGAGAAGGAGGGAGAAGAGGACTGAAGAGGAGAGTGGCGAGGTACCTACCTGGCTATGGTGGGCACCATCTTCATCACCTTGTTAGGCGCTGCATCTGGAAGGCCCCAGTTGGGGTAGCACCGCACCAAGAAGGCTTCAAGGCGGGGTCAGGCATCTCAGCCTGAACAGCAGCGAGCATAGCTGCTTTGTGTTGCCCTTTGCACAGCAGGGCGAGGACCTAGTAGTCCGCCATAGCCTTGGCCTACACGAAGAGGAAGAGGAAGGGTGGCCATGGCTATGTGGACCTCATGTTGTGCCTGCAGTAGAAGAGGGATTCGGACATTGATTCTGGTTCATCCATTCAACATTATGTTGTTATTTATTGTTTGAATAACAGGGGAGGAGAAAAGGAGGAGGGGAGTGGTTGGTGAAGAAGAAGGGAACTCTCATTGGTCTTTGCTGGTGCACATCTTCTTTTTCTTCTTCTTTCCCTCTCTCTCCTCTCAAGTTCATTCATTTCTTTTTGCAATTGAACGGCATTGTACTTTCTGATGAATGTGTACATCGAAATCGGAGCGGATTCTAATTGCTGGCGAGAGTTGACTTGCTACCCTAAACCTAACCTGAGTGGTGGAGGGCGCC